GGGGGGTAGGGCGAAAGCAAAAATCGAGCAGGGGAAACAGAAAAAAAAATTGTGCACCAGAAAAGTTTGAAAACGCCAACAATTTTTGGGAGAAAAATAAAATTCGAGCAAGGGATTATAAAAAAAAATAATCGACACAGCAAAAAATTTTGAAATGGACCCCCCCCCATCACTCTCCTAATGGTCCGTCCCTTAGGGGACCAAACTAGCTTTGATATGGTTAGTTTTAACCCTAGTCTTGAATAGGGTTAAAACTAACCCAGGTTCAACCTAAAAAAACTAACTAACTGGTTTAGATTTCTGCAGTGTAATGTTGGTTTTAGCCTGATTTTCATTTGCATACTTTATGCAAAATTATCAGTCTTTACTGGTTGCAGAAATATATCGACACTGTAAAATGATCAGCTTTACATGGTTGTCAGTATCAAATGGAAACCCGGCTTTAATTATTTAGCATTTTTAGCCACGGCACAGCTAACAACAAACCTTGTTCATCCTCTGAACTGCTGTCAGAACTTTCTTCAGAACTCGACTCCCCATTACTATGTTGTTTACCCACTTTCAGCCTTGGATCTTTTGTCTCATTTTGTTTTAAACTGACAAATAAATAAAAAAATCAAAGATGAGAGTTTTTGAATCATAAATATAGCTTTAAAAATAACCAATACGTGATATTTAAGAGTCACTCACTCCAAAAATGCCTGGTACCACTCTACAATTGAATGATTTGTCACTGGATCTTTGATCTCCTAAATTATAAATAAACATGACAATAACTTGAACACAATTTTACTTTGAAGAGGTGAACATTTTCTATGTATTGATAATTTGTGTAACAATGAATACATTGTCTATCCTCACATGATGCAGTCTCTGCAAATTATAGCATAAATCCTTGTAAAACTGTCTCTATCACATGCTCGACAATTTAACTCACAGGTGTTTATTGTGGGTGACACTGGATGCCAAGTCTAATGATATCAACCGCAACAAACACCTGACGTTAACCCCCATGTTGGTTGCTGGTTGGTTGACAGGGCTTTTGAAATAATATAACGCTGCTCGATCATGGTGATCAGCAGCCCGACTGGAAAGTTTGGAAATTGCACAACCGAAATTTAATAGTAAATATTTAGAAATCATCAAAATTGAGCGCCCAGTATCTCGGTTGTGCAATGCAAACTTTCCACACTGGATCAGCAGTCATGACTTTCCATGCTTTTTCCGGTTGAAAAACCTGGAATAATTGCGTATCACCTATCAATGGTTGTCAAGAAATTGCTTATGATCGGCTGTTATTTCAAACCCTGGGTTGATAACCATATATTTGACAAACTAAATATAATATGGCTATATTTTGATTAAACTAGAGGTTTAAATGTAAGGTATATGTATCAATTTCTCACATAAAGTAACATCTACATGCGGCATAAACTCATAATATGGCTATTTGCTATTAACGATTTTTACACTTTATATTATCTTGATCACTGAATAAACGCAAGATCAGAGCTCCTTACCGATCCAATCTCCTTCTTAAAACATTTAGCCGTCTTTGGTAGTTTATTTTGCAGTAAAAAACTGTGTATATATGCGAATAAATCCCTAGGAACTGCCTCCATTTTGCAACAATATAAAACACGTGTATTACTTCACACGTTTTGTCTCCCTCCCCCCTGATTCTTACGCATATCACCATCAAATAATCAAATATCCTCAGAAAAAATAAAAGTTAAAATCAAATACGGGGGGGAGGGTTCAAACTTTTCGATTGCTTTTCCCTTCCCATTTCGAGATACGTCATGTTAGGGGGAATATATTGTATGAATGAGTATAAAACAAACAATTTATGGTTGATCATTTTTTTGCGTTAGTTATTGGGATTTTGCGTTTTGTAAACGGTGATCGAGGCATGTTTACAGCTCTGAGTAAGGGGTATAAAAACTTTAAACCACAGGTAGGGATTGTTAGGTAAAAAAAAATAATAAATTATAGATATGTATTTACAGTATATATAGTGCGAAATGTTACAATTTGTGCTGCAAATTTCGACGCAATTTCTGCCATAGAACCAGTGGTGAATCTACAGCCATAGCGACAGGTGATACTATGCAAATTTTTAATGATTTGCATTATTCAAACCTAAAAGTTGGAAATATATTGTCTATTTAGATGCAAGAATTATTAGCATTGGCAATGAATGATATATAACATGACCCGTTGCTACACACGTGGCTAGATTGACCACTGATCTTATCTAGATAGTAGCCACAAGGAAATTGTGAACATGGCCTTACAGTTTGCTCTACTTAGCATTTTTCATCCCATTTCTCTCAAAGAAAGTGTTGGTAGAGTAGAATACGGACCATGCTCAATTTTCCTGCGACTTCTGACTATAGTAAGAATGTTGCTATTTTCTGATGTTCTACAGATCGACTTTTTCAACTGTGTCATGTCAACTTCATTTAAACTTGCATAGAACATTTGTGACTCATTTCATTGACGGGAAATATATGGCAGATCATGGGTAGCACCAATTTAACGACCAATCTTTTGTTTGCCTGATCCCTGCTAGCTATGCAGGACAGTGACCTAGATGCTGCTCACAAGGTGAATGGAAGTGACATTTCAGTTCACTGTCACAATGGTTCAAAAATTTGATGTGGATTTTTCATTAGCCTCTAACCCAGGCCTCTATATGGAAGTTACATTGTTATTGTGAAAGATAGGGCATAGTGGATAGGGTCTGACATTTATCTTCAACAGACTTTTTAGAAAAATTCAAAACATTTCTTTATATTTGCTGTGTGCATGTGTGGTAGTTTGTTAGTGTGGTAGTTTGTTAGTGTGGTAGTTTGTTAGTGTGGTAGTTTGTTAGTGTGGTAGTTTGTTAGTGTGTTAGTTTGTTAGTGTGGTAGTTTGTTAGTGTGGTAGTTTGTTAGTGTGGTAGTTTGTTAGTGTGGTAGTTTGTTAGTGTGGTAGTTTGTTAGTGTGGTAGTTTGTTAGTGTGGTAGTTTGTTAGTGTGATAGTTTGTTAGTGTGGTAGTTTGTTAGTGTGGTAGTTTGTTAGTGTGGTAGTTTGTTAGTGTGGTAGTTTGTTAGTGTGGTAGTTTGTTAGTGTGGTAGTTTGTTAGTGTGGTAGTTTGTTAGTGTGGTAGTTTGTTAGTGTGGTAGTTTGTTAGTGTGGTAGTTTGTTAGTGTGGTAGTTTGTTAGTGTGGTAGTTTGTTAGTGTGGTAGTTTGTTAGTGTGGTATTTTGTTAGTGTGGTAGTTTGTTAGTGTGGTAGTTTGTTAGTGTGGTAGTTTGTTAGTGTGGTAGTTTGTTAGTGTGGTAGTTTGTTAGTGTGGTAGTTTGTTGGTGTGGTAGTTTGTTGGTGTGGTAGTTTGTTAGTGTGGTAGTTTGTTGGTGTGGTAGTTTGTTGGTGTGGTAGTTTGTTAGTGTGGTAGTTTGTTGGTGTGGTAGTTTGTTGGTGTGGTAGTTTGTTGGTGTGATAGTTTGTTAGTGTGGTAGTTTGTTAGTGTGGTAGTTTGTTGGTGTGGTAGTTTGTTGGTGTGGTAGTTTGTTAGTGTGGTAGTTTGTTGGTGTGGTAGTTTGTTGGTGTGATAGTTTGTTAGTGTGGTAGTTTGTTAGTGTGGTAGTTTGTTAGTGTGGTAGTTTGTTCGTGTGGTAGTTTGTCAGTGTGGTAG